CAGAAGGAAGAGCAGCAGCCGTCGAAAGATAGAGGATGGTGTCAGGGTCTGGGATCTGCGCGAAGAGGGTGGTGGTCGACGCCCGGCACCACATGCTTGGAAGGCTGGCGTCCATAGTGGCGAAGGAGCTGCTGAACGGACAGAAGGTGGTGGTTGTGAGGTGCGAGGAGATATGCATGTCGGGTGGACTGGTGAGGCAGAAGATGAAGTACATGAGGTTCCTGCGTAAGCGCATGAACACCAAGCCATCCCACGGTCCCATTCACTTCCGTGCACCTGCAAAGATTTTTTGGCGCACCGTTCGTGGGTACGCATTATAAAGTTCATCCTTTCCTTCTTGTTTCTTGTAGATTGATAAATTTAACCGGAGAATTGGTATTTTAGATCGTTCAGTAGCTGTTATTAGATGGTGCAGCAGCAGCATGGAGTTAATTTTTTTTAGAAAGTTTAATGCTTTTTTCTTGTTAGTTAAAAGGAACTGTGATGAGATTAGGATGCAAAGCCTTGTGGGAGTTAATTTGCTCAAAAAAAAAAAAAAATCTGTTCTTGTTGTTACTGTCTTTGGTGCATTTTCATAGTGATATGGGTGGTAGAATTTAGATTTCATTACTGGTCTTTTAATTGATTTTCCTTTTGCATATGAAGGTAGGTTACTTGAATAATGTTGATGTGTAAATAACATTTTGGACCATAGGTTTGTAAAGTACTGCATGAGCTTCAGGATGTTCAGTTTCCCCACTTATTTGATAGTCATTGGTTTATTTGTGATAATTAGTAAGCTTGGATAGGATGTCAATCTTGGTATTTAACTTCTGATGGGGACTTTTTGCATGTGTCTTATGGTAAATGGATTCTCATTCATATCAGGAATGAGTTTATTATTTGTGTTTTTTGTTGTAATCAAAGGGTCCTGGAATCTTATATTTATTTTTGGTGGGTGTTGATCTTTGCTTCCTTCTGGTGATCGAACTGTGCTCTGGTTGTAGAATGATTCCTCACAAGACTAAGCGTGGAGCGGCAGCACTTGCTCGTTTGAAGGCCTATGAGGGCATTCCTGCTCCATATGATAAGATTAAAAGGATGGTGATCCCAGATGCTCTCAAGTGAGTGTTCCACTTCCAGATGCCTTCTATAACTCAGAATTTGAGGTTTATGTTTATTTTTCAATTATATAGTCTTTTTTTCTTCTTGATTCTCGGTTAGGGTTTTGAGGCTTCAAAAAGGACACAAGTACTGCTTATTGGGCAAGCTCTCATCTGAAGTCGGATGGAACCACTATGATACTATCAAGGTGAAGATCGTTGATCTTGCAACTATGAAAATTATTGTTTTTGTGCTTAATTGTTGGCCTAGGAATTAGTCTGCTTGTACTGATACTCTATTAAATTATCTAGAAAATTGATGATAGCCTTCTAATTTACTCTTTGCAATTATATATGTTCTTCTCCCCAGGAACTTGAGAGGAAGAGAAAGGAAAGATCTCAGGTGGCATATGACAGAAGAAAGCAGCTGAATAAACTCAGAGTCAAAGCTGAGAAGGCTGCTGAGGAGAAGCTTGGATCCCAGCTTGAAGTTATTGCTCCCATCAAATATTGATTCACAGAGGCAGTTGTTCCCTTTTGTCTAGTTAAACTTGTTATACATTTTTATTGTCGTTTTGAGCAATCTGAAATTTTATTGTCAATCGTTTCTGGTAGATTCCAAGCCAGTGCTAATACACTTGTATTGCAAAATGCTAGTTTTTACGTTTACCCAATAGTAGCTGGAGATTTGATTTCCTTTTATCATATCTTGCTGGATGTCGTTGTGGTTTTGCTATTACTTGAGTACTTCCTTTTAGCCTCATTTTACTGATCTCTAAACACTTTATGATGTGCACAATAAAGTATTATAGACGCTAAAATTATTATTGATATTTTAATAATTTGAGTGCTTTAACTGTACAACAAAAGTGCAGTTAGAATTGAAAGCATGAAACTTTTTTTTGATATATTTTATTATGAATTATATAAAAAAAAAATTTTTGTTTTATTTTTAAATATTTCTTTACTCAACTTAAAACTTAAACTTGAGGTTTTTAATTCAAAATTTTAAATTTTTAATAATTGAGTCACTCTATTAGGCTTATGAACCTCTTTTCTTTAAACTGTAGTTGGATGTTAGGTAGGTTATGTTTGTCTGATGACCAAAATTGCTGTAGTGGCCAATTAGTGGGTATCCTGGCCAAGATCAAAGCTACAAGTAAGAGCTAAGCTATGTGCTTTTATTAATTTTGAGAGAAAAATGTCTATCAGTGAGTCTCTAACAAATTAAGGAAAAAAGACTCAAATTATGTTATTTTAATAAATTTTTATTGAAAAATGTTTAAATAATTTATATTTAAGTCGAGATTGAATTTGTTTGGTTTTTTTTTATGATATTATAATAAAATGATATAGTTTTGAAATGTTTTCTTTTTTAATTTTTTAGAAATTAAGTTAGCAAACATTAATATCTAATTTTAATTAATATTTTATATATTTTTAAGATAGTAAAAGACAAGAAAAAAAATCTGTTACTGCATCACAACACTCACAAAATAAAGTTAAAAAAATAAAAATAATTAATTAATTAATTAAAAAAGAGGAAGGAGAAGTCTAAAGTCGTGTGGAATTTGTGGTTGGTGACTTACAGTATGCAATTAGTAGCAAATGTTCTTTTCACAATGCGTTTTCTCAATCTAGATGCGAAATCTTACCCATCTTTATCTTATTCCCAATAAAGTGTGATTCTTTCTCTTTGCCTCTGGTGCTCATTGCTGGAAGGATCTACCGTTATTCAGGTTCATTCGAAAAGAAATGTGACCCAATGCCAATGGTGCCTTTGTTCTCTTTAAAATGCAAACGTGCTTTTAATCGAAAATCAACTCACAACTTCACTAACGAGTTGCACTTAACCATTACTATCACAAACATTCTTTGATTCCTTACTTCACACACATCAACCCCTGTGATTGGTAGCAAATTTGGTATCATCCCAAAAGACCTAAAAACTAAAGTACCAGTGCAAGAACACACTAGAGGGCCACTGCCTTGTAGAAAAGTAAAATCAACACAGAAAAAAGTGAAGTAGTGAACCACAAAGCAAGTAGGAGAGCAAATTTTATAAAATGCTTAAGCATATGCTTCAATCTTCAGCTTCCATAAGCAATCTCGATGCTGTCTAAAATCACACATGTAGCTTCTCTATTATGGTTCTTGAGAAAAAGCCAAACAGAGGCTTATCATCCCTTGGATTCAGCTATGTATCTGTCTTCATCATTGCTTCCTCACTTTAAAATTTGCTGCTTAATTTACGAAATAATGCAGTTGGAAGACAAATTGGTTTCATGCCTCACCACTAGAGCAACTTAGGTTCTTAAAGTATATATATGTATGTGTGTATACAGTATAACTTGTATACAATATATATAGTTATTGATCTATTGTTGTTATACAATCCACATTTAGACATTAAAGAGAGTAGAATGTTTGTCTTCAACTCCATATCTTAATGTGTATTGACATTTACATGTTAAATATTATAGAATACGAAAAGAAAAGGCACAAAGGAGTGGGGTGGGGGGGAGGGGGTCCTCATTGTGAAGTACATGTATTGAGTGAGAAAGAAGATGGTGCATCATCATATTGTGGGATGGGGTGGTTGTTGATGTCTACTGACCAGGAAACTAGAGTTGTTACACAAATGAAATAATTGCTCCAACTTTGACAATGCATTCATCTTTCTTTTGAAAATAGGCAATGGAGACAATGCTGTCATCTGTTCCGTGGATAATATATAAATGGAAATTGAAAAAAGTACAAATAGCAGTTTTTGCTTAAATAAATAAGATTATAAATAAATATTAAGAAAACAGCGGAAAGGAAGGCAGATGTAACATCCATATTCCATATTCAAGCAAGAGTTACTACTAGAAAAGAAAAGGAAAAAGAAAAAAGGGGAGAAATCTTCAGTGAGGATGGTTTTTTCTTCTTCTTCTTCTTTTTTTTTTTATGATTAGAGCATCATTAACTTAGTTTTTACATATTTCAAAATTAATTTTTATCAATACAATTTTAAGCGTGCACCCTTACCGTTGACTTATCATATTTAAAAAATTAATTTTTTTAAATACTAATATCAAGATTTAAACCATAAATCTAATTTACAAATTGATGATAGTTATTTACTAATAAATCTATCTCATGGTGTTAATATGTTTCTTAGCTGGAAGGATATTCTCTTTTTTGATAAAACCACGGATATATTAATATATAGTAGAAGAAATATAATATATCTATGGTTTGCCATATAGGTAGTACATAAAAACATAGAAGCAAACCTATAGCACTATTAGACCTTAGACCAATATGGCTATTGCGTCTACAAAGCAATCAAATGTTTAAATGAATATCACAATTAGACCCAAATTCGAAATACGATAGTGAGGTTTCTATTGTAATGATTTTTTTTTAATAAAGCCAAGGATATATTAATATATAGTAGAAGAAGTATAATATGAAATATCTCCATGGCTTGCCATACATAAAAATAAAGAAGCAAACTTAGAGTATAAATTATAATTAAGCCCTAAACTAAGATAATTAATACATGTAGATCAGGACATTTTGATAATTAAATATCAAAACTTTTTATAAAATTATTTTAATAACTTTAATAAATCTTCTCTCTATATTAGTTCATTAAAAATATTATTAAAATAAAAAATAGTACTTATCTATTTTAACTTTTAAAGATTAATAAAAATATTATTCAAAAATTATGTCATTTTAATAAATACCTATTGAAAAATACTAAAATATCATATTTTTGAAGTATGAAGAATTAAGATGTTTTTTGTCTTTTTTTTTTTGGTTAATTTTTTGAAAGTAAGGCAGACAAACCCCTTAAAATAAATTTAAAGAGTCATGACATTTTAAATATTCATGCGTCCTGATTTCTCAAAATCTTTAAACAAAATCATATCCGTAAATATCTACTTCAATGCATTTTAACAACTTCCTTCCACACTTGCAAGATATGTATGTATATATATATATGGGAAAAGGAAAAATTATGATGTACTAATATTAAAAGTATCAGGATATCCAATAACATTCACATGATGAATTTAATAAAATTAGAACTCATATCATGTTTTATATATTATGTAATTATTATTGGATGTCTTGACAATTTTAATAGTAGGACGTTTTGATTTTCCTTTATATATATATATATATATATATATTTGGTACTAACTCATGATATTCAAAAGGCATATTACTTTTTTTGAACAGAACGAAAAAGGCATATTATTCTTGATTAAGCTAGAATCAAATCATATAAGCAAAGTTCTCTCAACATCTATTTCTCTATTTGCAAGACTTTAATTCAAAATTTTACTTATAAAAAATCAAACTCTTTTTACTGGAATCAACATTTTGTTGGTATAGTATAATATATTTTCAGTTCTTTGGTTTTAAGTTTGTTGGTATAATATAATATATTTTCACCAACGAGAGGTTAGATCAAGTGACGAGCGGCTTGTTCCAACTTAAGTAAGGTCTCGAGTTCGAAACCTTGTGTACGCAGTAGCCTTCGTTGGGAGACCCACCCACTATTCTGGTGCGCCACAACTGATTGAGTCCGAAGTAGTCGGGGTGAAGCCCCGATACCGGGCGGAAACCAAAAAAAAATAATATAATATATTTTCAGTTCTTTGGTTTTAAGCCTTCAATGATATTCAATGAATCAGAGTTAAATGTATTTCCTTAATTATTTCCTTAATTATTTCCCTCCAGATTTCTTTCCTTAAAATGAATTAAACTACTCATAAGGTTTCTATCTTTACAACAAAAGAAAAAGGAAACGAATCGAATACCCAGTAATTTTATTGGTTCTTTGTGATCCTCACATGTCATTACCACACCACTAACTTTCCAAATTTCCCTCCAAAATCTCTTCCGTTTATTGCTTTAAGAACACAAACACAACACTACCCTTCATCTATAGCCACACCCATCCCATCTCCTCCATTTCCCTTCCTTTCCCCCTTTCCTTCATCCTCGAGATCCATGTCTTCTCTTCAATCTCTTTACTCTCTCCCCCTTGCTCTCTTCCTCTGTTTGTTTCTCCTCTGCCTGGCCGATGCGCGCCGGCCACGTCATTACAGGCCAAGGCCTTACAGAACACTCTATGTTGATCAGACCGGCAATGGAAACTTTTCTACTATTCAGTCAGCCATAGACTATGTCCCAGAAAATAACAAAAACTGGATTTTTATCAGAATCACCGCCGGCACGTACAGGTATTCGTTTTTCCTAGAGACAAGATCTCAGTATGTCCTTAACCACTAGACGTAACATTTATGTTTTGTTTAGGGAGAAGGTGAAGATCCCTTATAACAAACCAAATATTGTTCTCAAAGGAGCAGCCAAGAGAAGAACCGTGGTGGTTTGGGATGATTACCAATCTCTTGCACAAAGCCCTACTTTCATGTCTTTAGCAGACAACATTGTTGTCAAAAGCATGACATTTGTGGTAAGAACTGCAGTCCATCTTGGTCAAAATTTTGTCATTAATGGGTGCTTAGCTGTTACAAACGTTTGAATTCTTTACTTTAACTCTAATTAATTAATACATTTATGACATTTACTCTATTTTGATTTGTTGGATATTTCAATTTTGTTAAGAATTTCTTCATTTCCTCTTTTATCATGGACAGAATTCCTATAACAGTCCGAATAGTAATAGGCCTATGACACCGGCCGTTGCCGCGATGATAACAGGGGATAAGTGTTCCTTTCACCGGGTTGGGTTCATAGGGTTGCAAGATACCCTGTGGGATGATCAAGGCCGTCATTACTTCCACCGTTGCACCATTCAGGGCGCGGTTGATTTCATCTTTGGCAGTGGACAGTCCGTTTATGAGGTACCTAATTATATAAGCATCCATCATTTCTTGTACAACAAGTAAAAAATCTTCTAAATCATTGGTACTCAAGCTTGTAGACATGTGACATAATGCAATTCAATTATAAAATGGTAAAGATGGAAATGTGTATGAGAATACTTATGGATTCACCTAATTTATATTTTATTTCACTTATAACATTGGTGAACTTAAAAATGTGTTTGGTTTATAGAGATTTTTTCTTTTCTTTTCTGTTTTTGTAGAATTGTGCCATAGTGGTGCGTGGGGACACTTTGGAGCCAGGGCTTCCAGGCTTCATTACAGCACAAGGAAGAACAAATCCAACTGATGGAAATGGGTTTGTGTTCAAGAATTGTGCTGTGTTTGGCAGTGGATCAGCCTTCCTCGGGAGGCCATGGAGAGGATATTCTAGAGTTTTGTTCTACAACTCTAGTCTTTCCCGTGTCGTTCAGCCTGGGGGATGGGAGGCTTGGAATTTCGTTGGCCATGAGTGAGATTTTGGACTCTAATACCATGTCTAGAACTGTTTAATGAAACAACTTAAAAACTTGTATATCTGATCTTAGAAGTCCCTCTGATTTGTTAAATTTTTTTTTTTGTGTTGATGGATTTGGAATGTGAGCAGGTGGCAGCTAACTTTTGCGGAGTTTGGGAACTATGGCCCAGGATCCAACAGTAGAATGCGTGTGAAATGGGCAAAGAAGCTGAGCCTTCAGGATGTAAATCAGTTGACAAGCATGTCTTTTATTGATAGGGAGGGATGGCTTCAGAGCCAACCCGTTTAGATATCTCATGATTCAGATCAGTTTCATGAATGGTTATTGGGCATGCGAAAAGAAATTCTGGACTTTTGTTTCTAATTCCGGGACCCCATATTGTTTACCTTTGCAAATCTAATTTACAGGAATTTCATTTTATTTTGTTTATTCTGTTCTAATTAACATTACATATGAAATCAAAGTAACATTCCATTTTCTTCTTTTCATTAGATATTCCTCCT